GAAATAGAAAGAAATGTCTGATTTATTTTTAAACTTATGCTTTTAAATATAACCCTGATTCAAAAAAGCACATGCTTAAGTACTCCCTCTTTATCAAAGCATTTAAGCATATGTTTTCCCACTGATGTCCATCGTATGTAAGCACATTCTGAATTGGGACCTAAGTGATTGTTTCTGATGATTTCATTTGATAATTTAAAAGTTTTCCTTTTCTGTATTTCATGTTATGCATCCATTTTTGAAATATGTTTTTACTTTTTAAATATAAAAAATGATGTACAGTATGCAGTTCTGCCACAAATGAAAATAATTCACATTCAATTTCATATCAATATGAAGTTCTAAAACAAACCTACACAGATGTCTCCTCAAATATATATTTTTTCATTTCTAATGTGCATATAAGTGCAAATAAGAAATCACGCTGATGCTTTGTTTTACTCTCTCTGATTTTAACCTTAATATTTAAAAATAAATTATTTACAACCATAGGCATCCAGAAATAATGAGTCAGGCTTCATGAAATGGGCTTTTAAAAATGAGCATTGTTTCAAAGGAAAATAGGTGCTGGGTTCTACTTTGATTTCTAGTTTTCGAATCATTAGGGTTCATGACCAAGATTCACAAAGGGACAGATTCTATTCTGGTCCCTGTTGCAACCATGCAACCCCTGCTTAGCTGCCACTTTATTCTATAGGCACATAACTGCACTCAACACCTATTTTTTCCCTGTAACAGTTCCCTATCTTTCTGTCTCTATGCATGGACACAATGCTTCACTTCAGGTATCTGGGGCCTACCACACACCTAAGCCGTAGCACAATTCTAAATCCAGATGAAGACAGGAATCCCTTGCCTAACTCTACTGAAGACAAAGCCAGCAGGCATACCCAGAACACACATACACACCTTTTAGAATCTGCCTGGAGTAGATGGCATCTCCCTACTTTTAGTCTACTGGTTAGAGTTCTCACATGAGATGCAGGAAACCCATGTTCAGTCCCTGCCCCCCTTCTGCTTGATGGAAGAAAGGTTCTGAGCAGGGGTCTCCAACCTCTTAAGTGTTTTGACCAATCAGTTATGAGATATACTGATGTGGATCTCTCTGTCTCCCCTGTGTAAACGTTTTACTGTGTATACAAAGTGACAGAGCTTAGCATTGGAGAAGGCCCCTTGGTCTCCTGCCTCTGAGGTATGTGCTCAATCAGGCTATAGAGTCTTTACTCTCTCTCTCTCTCTCTGGCCCGATGAGCCCTCCTTCCTTCTCCTCAGGTGTTTCTTGCAACACACAACTTAGAAGTCTAACTCCAGCAAAGGATTTAAGCCTGTAGATGCCAAGCAGAGGGAGACATCTACCTAAAAGCTTTGATGTAGGCACCTAAATCCTAGAAAGGAGCAGGGCTTAGGACATACCCTCTTATCAGACTGGTGTAGTCAGGGAGCCATCTAGTGTTCTAGGTTTTGTGGATATCAGTCTTAGGTGCCATTCATTGTATAGGGAGCCCAGGTACCGAACTCCAGCTTTTTCGACTTGTATGATTTTCTGGGCACCTGAAAGTTAGGTATTGCTATGCTCAGCGTCACTACACTTAATGGGAAGAAAGGTTTGTAGGTCCTGGGTCATGCTTTTAAACTTCTCTCTGCAGACAAAAGGGCAGAAACTTGCTTTCTAAAGGAAAGCCCAGATATTCATTTTTCAGTAACCTTACTCCAAGTGCTGGGATTTAAGAAAAACACTAACTATGTAGAGAATCATGATAAAATCATCAGAGCTGGTGTTTCATGACCTGCCGTCTCCTGACCTGTAGATCTTGATCTCGGTAATATAGCTGTGTTTTGACTTGGGCAGCTTTAAGGACCTACCACCTAACTCCTCCCTTCCACATCTTGCCACTCCAGAACTACTCAGTCTTAGTTAATTAGCTACATCGAGGGTACAGTTGTAATTGTTAGGAAAACTACTGTAGTAATTGAAAAGGAAAATTAATAACCCTGGCTACAGCAACATATAGTTTACTCTTCTTTGACCAATTCAGTAGGCCAGATTCAAAGCTGGTTTAAATAAACATAGCCTTCTCTGGTTCTTAATCATTATGGCCTGGTCTATGCTTAAAACTTACGTCAACCTAGAAACTTCTGTCAAGGCTTTGAAAAATGTCACAACCCCAAGACAAAGTTATGCTGCGCTAAACCCTTGGTATAGACACTTCTTGGTCAATGGAAGAATTCTTCTGTCAGTCTAGCTCCTGCCTCTCAAAGGGGTGGATGAAAAAATCCCTTTTGTTGCTGTCAGCATTAGAGGACTACACCAGTATAGCTACCACACTGCAGCTGTTACTCTGCAGTGCTTGTAGGGTAGACATAGCCTATGTATCCAAATGAATGGGAGTATTTTGATTTATTTCAGTGGGAGCATGATTGAACCCTATGTGTACTTCATGTTAATTTCATTATTTGGCTTTTGATTTTCGTGAGTATGCAATAAGTGGAGAGAGGGGGAATGAACAGGAAGCACACTTTGAAGGGAAATCAACTCTAATTGATGAATGTGCTGTAGGAAATTAACGCCTTGGTTAAAAGAATTCATGCATTTTACAGTTTCTTCATTTATAATTACATTTCTTGTTGAGCTCTTTAGGAAGAAAGGACAAGAAGAAATAATAAAAAGGTTATAATTGTTGAAAAATCTGTAATAGTTTTATACAATAATCTACATCCAGCTGTACAATGGTTACATTTTCATCAAAAGTTTATGGTGACCATAAAAAAAAAATCACAAAAGCAAATCTTGACTAGTTTGCATATGACATTGAACTCCAGAAATACAATTCTGTCCCTGCATTGTGAACACTTTGGGTGTATTCTATGCTAAAAACATAGAAATGAAACCAATAAACAACATGGACTCGATGTAAACTTTAGTCCAAGTATTTGCTAGATGTGTGTAATATTTCTTTCTGCAAATTTCTTTCTTTGTTTGTTTTTCAGTTATAGGAATAAATTGAACTGAGTGACCTTTTCCATCACTGGAATTAATACAAATTGCTGCTGCTATTTGAATTCTTAAACAGATCATAAGTGAAATCTTGTCTCTGTTGAAGTCAAAGTCAAAATTCCTACTGACTTCAATGGACACAAGATTTCACCCCATGTTGTTTAAAATAACAATAGCAGTTGTGGAGCACCTTTTAAGCTAAAGGTTCCAGTGTACAAATTATAGCCCTAATACAACAACCTAATCCACTTGTGTGAATCCCCTTCATTGGATGTCATAGGACTCCACAGGAGTGCAGTAGACTTGACAAGAAGACCTAACTGCAAAAAATTGGGATCTACAAACTGGAATCACTTCGTTCATTAGTGAAATGCAGCCATCTTTAGTGTGGAACATGTCAGATGCTTAGCAGTGGATAATTAACAATAGTACACACTACTTAGGACAGTAAGTAAAAAAGGGCATTATCTCTAATTGAAACTGCAGAGATGAAAAGTAGTATCATTTGCCTTATTAAACTATGTTCACCATATGGAGAAGGCTAGAATCCTTTCACTACATTTGAGGGATATTTTTAAAATCTGTCATATTTTACAGGTACTAATAATTGTAATACTTATAGTCCCACAACAAAATTGTAGGTGCAAATCTTGGTAGCTATGACCCAAATAATCTAATTTGGTTCATGGTCCTTTTAAAAAAATGTATCCCTTTCATTTTAGCAGATGCTTTCATTATTTGTGCTATAATCTCTACTCTTTGCTTACACGCAAATGTACATGCCTTGCCAACAATGTGGCATCCAGAAGGAATCTTATTTGGTAGAAAATGTTTCCATCATTACATAAGTGAAGCCTGTGAGTTTGGGCTGATGTAGCTGAAAAATGTGAGTATTACTGTAATGTACTTAGATCACTTACAGTAAGTGTGGAATGTTCTTTCCTGTGTTAGTCTAAGAGTGAATGCCATAGAAGTGTCCCTTTTGCTCCCACCCCCCACCTTCTATGAATCATGTTTCCATTGGTATTTCTGAAAGCAAACCACCCTCAGGTGTTTTACAGCATTTGTTTGTATTGTGGGAAAAATACATACACACACATTCACACATATAACTTAAATTTGATTAAGAAGACAAGGGCAAAGAAACCAAAGTGCTGTGGTTTCTTTGAATGTCTGTCTGTCTGCATAGTGACAGAGGTCTCACGGTCTCAGCCACAATATCTTGACTCACCACATTGCTGTTTAGAAGAAGCGTTCATAACTGAGTTGGGAGCTGAGCCACTTAGGCATACACAAAATATTGCTCCTAAAGCGTAACACTCTCTCAGGCCTGATTCGTCTCTCATGACAGGGTAAATCAGAAGGCCATGGGTTTTTTTTTGCAATGATATGAGCGAGTGCCTTAACTTCTTCAGGTTAAGTCAGATTAAAAGAAACAGTTGGTTCTAGAACAAGAATCACTTGGGTCTAGCACATAATTTGGAGCAGTCACAAGTTCCCTTCCTGGCTTTTCTGTTGATGTGCTATTGGGCAAGTCATTTAACCTCTCTGCACCATCAATAAAATAGTCTCTTTATGCTTGACAACAATAAAGAGTATTCTGTGTGAATAATAATTCTTACCTACCTCCCAGGCATGTTATAAGAATGACAGAATGTTTCTAAATAATTTTGTAATCTTCACCTGAAAGGAACTATAAATATGCCATGTGTAATTGTTATCGTTAGCTCACACAACCTCCTGGGCACTGAAAGGGTTTTTGGTTTATGCAGTCAGATCTGTGTGGTATTTCAACTTCAGCAGGGCTCCATGAAGAAATAGGACCTTGAGAATCCAAGTGCAGGACTGAGGCCTTGATTAGTATTCAGAGCAAATAAGTTGTATTTGGGTGATCTGTTACATGTACCATGGAGTATAAGTGTACAATGGGGGGAGGGGTGCTTTGTATTTTGAACTTTTTTAACTAGGAAAGATGTGGTCATGTGATATGGGAAAACATACTTACAAATTGAGTCTGTGTGGGTTGATGAGCTGAGTTAAGCAACTATAGGATGATGTGTTCATCACACAGCAAGATCAGGAGCTAATATTACATTTTCACCTTTTTCTTCCAGAGATCTACTGAGTCTAGATTTAGGTCACACAGTTGAGAAGGATTTGGTGATATTTCAGGCTTATCCCTTGGAGAAGTTTGTCTGTGGGGAGACTTTAAAAGGAGAAAAGGCAGTTATGGGTGGAACTCTCATTTAAGGTCAATAGGTGTGAGGTGCCTAGCTGCCACTGGGCCTTACGGGGGAGATTTTGAATGGCTAACCTACCACATATTGCCATGACTGACTCTCTCTGTTCAGGAGGGATTTAGCACTAGAGCAGAAGAGGTTCCTGAAGGCCAGGCTTGCCAAAACTGTGGAAAGAGATGTGACAATACGTACACAATAAAATCTCTGACACTATACTTCTCTGGACAGACCCTCACCTTTTGGTTTTGGATTTTTGTAAATTCTAATGAAGAATGAGTGACTTGCAATGCTTAAATTATTCCCTACATCTCTGAGTGTTGCTGGAACTAGAAAAGTAAAATGAGATTTCACCCAGCTTGGGCAGAATTACATATCAAAACAAGGCTCCTTTAACGGCAAGTGTTATGTTTTGACCACAACAGTGTGTATGTGTGTGGGCGGGTGGGCAGTTTATCAGAGTTAGCCTCTGGCAGACTGCTGCCACTATATTTACCTAAGCCTCTGCAGGTACAGGCGATTGCAGCTCCCATTGGGATGCAGATCGCTGTTTCCAGCGAATGGGAGCAATGGGAACTGAGTGGCCCAGGACACCACTTTCAGCAGCTCCCATCGGCTGCAATGGTGATCAGCAGCCAACAGGGAGCTGCAACCACCTGTACCTGTGGAGTTTCAAGTAAATATAGCTGCGCTGGCCCACCAGGGACTAACCCTGGTGAACCAGATCCGGCCCACAGACCAGGATTTGCCCACATCTACTGTAAAGTCATGAAGGGGTAAATCTGCAGGTGTCCCTTATGTCAGGGTAGATGAACCTCATACTAGAGAGAGAAGGATGCAGGAACAACTCTGAGCTCTGGAAGCCCCACCGCAACAGGCCTCTACTTCAAGGAGGAGCTTAAAAGGGAAACTCTTCAACACAGTAAGTGGCAGATAGAGAGAGCCAGACCTGCACTCACTGCTACATAAAACCTCTGCCAGAGGGAGATTCGAGGAGAAGGACTGTTAATAAAAGAATATGAAAACAGACACTGGATTCAGACCAATCTTCCATCTAGCCCAGTCTTATGAGAGCAGCCAATGCCAGATGCCTCAGAGGGAATGAATAGAGCAGGTAATTATCAAGTAATCCATCCCTAGAAATTTATTCCCAGTTTATAGCAAATTGAATCTAGGAACACCATATCTTCCCATCCTGGCTAATAACCGTTGACGGACCTGTCTTCCATGAACTTATCTAATTCTTTTTTAAACCCTGTTTTAGTCCTGACATTTCCAATATTTTCTGGCAAAGAATTCCAGGGATTGACTGTAAGTTCTGTGAAGAAACACTTCCTTTTGTTTGTGTGAGCAGGGTCTAAAAGAACTGAACAAATTCTCTGTTGACAGTTACCTAGACTTAAGGAGCAAACTGTATCTAGATGAACACATCTACTCTGGTTAGATATCCAGAAGATAGAGTGGTGTTACTCAAAGTAATCAACTTTGGTCAGTGTTGGTTACAAATCACTTTAGTATTGAGAGCAGGGGTAGTGTAATGCTGTTACCAATGTGTTGTCATTATTGCATGAATGAAGGGGAGCAGAAATGTCCTTAACAAAGAAAGTGCTAAATATGCTTCATTAGGAGCCTCTTTGTTATTTTAAATACTTAATCAGAACTTAAATTAGTTGTGGTAGGACTCTTAGATACCACAGAACTAAAAATACTGACAGCTGAAGACATTTGAGATGGAATAGTATTTCTGCCCAGCCTGCAATGAGCTGAAAATTACTAAGGGAGAAAGTAGATCTAAGCTATGGAATTTGAGTTGCATTCGTGTAATTCAAGTTGATGTAACATAACTCTACTTGCCATGAGGTCTACACCACACTGAGTCAGTGGGAGAAACTCTCCCATTTACTCCCCTTACTCATCTCGTTCTGGTGGAGTACCAGAATTGACATCCAACTATCAGCAGTTGATTTAGCAGGTCTTCACTAGACTCACTAAATTGATCACGGGTAGACTGATCACCACAGTATCAATCCACTTACTAGTGGAGACAAACCCTAAGGCTACGTCTACACTGCAGGCTTTTTGCACAAGAACAAGCGTTCTTGCGCAAAAATTTGCAGAGCATCTACACATGTTCTTGCGCAAGTTAATTTATAGTAAAGCATTAGAAAAGAGGGCTTCTTGAACAAGAGTTATTCCTCTCCCCATGAGGAATAAGCCCTCTTGCGCAAGAACTCTTGCCACGGCACAACTGGTGGCCAAGCTCTGTGACTTTATCCTCACACACAACTATTTCAGATTTGGGGACAATTTATACCTCCAAACCAGTGGCACTGCTATGGTCACCCGCATGGCCCCACAATATGCCAACATTTTTATGGCCGACCTGAAACAACGCTTCCTCAGTTCTCGTCCACTAGTGCCCCTCCTCTACTTACACTACATTGATAATATCTTCATCATCTGGACCCACGGGAAGGATGCTCTGGAAGAATTTCACCATGATTTCAACAATTTCCACCCCACTATCAACCTCAGCCTGGACCAGTCTACACAAGAGATCCACTTCCTGGACACTACCATGCAAATAAGTGATGGTCACCTAAACACCACCCTATACCAAAAATCTATGGATGGTCACCTAAACACCACCCTATACCAAAAATCTATGGATGGTCACCTAAACACCACCCTATACCAAAAATCTATGGATGGTCACCTAAACACCACCCTATACCAAAAATCTATGGATGGTCACCTAAACACCACCCTATACCGAAAACCTACGGACCACTATGCATACCTACATGCCTCCAGCTTCCATCCCGGACACATCACACAATCCATCGTTTACATCCAAGCACTAAGGTACAACCATATTTGCTCCAACCATTCAGATAGAGACAAACACCTACAAGATCTACACCAAGCATTCTTGAAACTACAATACCCACCTGTGAAAGTGAGGAAACAGATCAACAGAGCCAGATGTATACCCAGAAACATCCTGCAACAAGACAGGCCCAAAAAGGAAAATAACAGAACACGGCTGGCCACCACCTACAGTCCCCAGCTAAAACCTCTCCAATGCATAATCAGCGATCTACAACCCATTCTGGACAATGATCCCCACTCTTACAGACTTCGGGAGGTTTGAAACTACAATACCCACCTGTGAAAGTGAGGAAACAGATCAACAGAGCCAGATGTATACCCAGAAACATCCTGCAACAAGACAGGCCCAAAAAGGAAAATAACAGAACACGGCTGGCCACCACCTACAGTCCCCAGCTAAAACCTCTCCAATGCATAATCAGCGATCTACAACCCATTCTGGACAATGATCCCCACTCTTACAGACTTCGGGAGGTAGGCCAGTCCCCACCCACAGACAACCCGCCAACCCGAAGCAAACTCTCACCAGCAACTATACACCATACCACACTAACTCTAACTCTGGAACCAATTCCTGCAATAAACCTCTGTGCCAATTCTGCTCACATATCTACACCAGCGACACCATCATAGGACCTTGTAGCCGGACAGAGTAAGTCTAAGGTCTGACACTGGGTTCCCAAAGTACAAAGGACGCCACACAGGTATCTGGCAAGCATAAACAGTTTATTTCTTGACAGCTAACAGCTGTGCCCCATAGATGGAAGAATAATATAACAAAGAAGCGGCATATCTTACGTCCCTTCTGCAAGCCTGGGGCCCCAGGTAAGCTCCGGATGAAGTGGGAGGTTGTCTCAGTTTCTGAGGCACTGGCATTCACAGCCCATCAGCAAAGTCTGAGTTGCTGGGCTCTGAGGCAGCCTTAAATACAGTTTTCCTGCCCTGTTTGGCAGTTTGGAAATTTCCAGGGCTTACTCATTAGTGCTGATGTAAAGCGTAGCTGTTAGTTATCAATCTGGATCTGATCTGGTTCTTCTTGTCCTTTGGCCCTGTTTACATGATCAGTACTTTAGGGTAAACAGAGTTGTTTATGCGTTCTTGTCTTCTAACCTTATCTTATACTTGTTCTTGCTATACTGGCAACAATGCTTATCTTAAATGGCGTATGTTCCCAAAGACTTGCTTCTGGCTCATCAGATATAGGGGAAACGGAAAGGGGGAGAAGGAATGCAGACCTCACCACCCCTAAACTACCATGTACAAAGTTCTTTTGCAATTGACCACTACATTCCACCCCGGGTGATCTGGCATGCATTCTTCCCCAACACATCCCTTCTAGGGTGTAAGTTGTTCCAGTATGACCTGGTGTTTTACTTGCTGAGCCAGTAGCATCATACGGAAAACCAAACGCTTTACATAACAGGCTAACATACTAGTAATAATACAAATGGTTACAAAACCTAATAATACAATAACAATAGGATGGAGGGGATTATATGGAGGCTAGATGCTTTCAATGTCCAATTTGTCCCTGGTTTTGCAACAACTTGGTAGTGGAAAGTCACATGGTGGGAGGCATCGGGAACATGGGTGCCCTGATGAGTCTTTCCCCAAATAGCAGATCTGGGCCACCTCATGGTGTCGAACCAGACACACCAATGGACACTGTAGTCAGTGGTGATGTTCTCTTGCTTGGTCCAGGGTCCCGACTGAGTGCTGGTGTTCTGTGTTGTATTAATGCAAAGGAACCCCTAAATATTTAACTTCTCCCTGGTTGCTGATGGCTTTACCTGGCAGAAGGGTTACATTTGTTTTAAACCTGCTGTCTATTAATTTCATTTGGTGATCCCCTAGTTCTTGTCTTCTTTATTTAATTTCTCCACACCAGTCATGACTATATAGACCTCTATCATACCTTCTCTTAGTCATCTCTCTTCCAAGTTTTAAAGTCCCAGTCTTATTAATCTTTACTCCTATGGAATCTGTTTCATATCCTTAATCATTTTTGTTGCCCTTCTCTCTATCTTTTCCAATTTTAGTATATAATTTTCTTTTCTTTTCTTTTCTTTTCTTTTCTTTTCTTTTCTTTTCTTTTCTTTTCTTTTCTTTTCTTAGATGAGGCAATTGGATCTCTATGCAGTATTTAATATATAGAGGCAATATATATATTTTTATTTTCAATCCCTTTCCTAATGATTTCCCAACATTTTGTTTGCTTTTTTTGACTGCCTATGAACACTGAATGGATGTTTTAGAGAACTATGCATAATGATTACAAGATCTCTCTCTTGAGTAGTAACAACTAATTTAGACTCCAGAATTGTATATGTATAATTGGGATTATATTTTCCATTGGGCATTACTTCACTTTTATCAACTGCTGCACAAAGTTGAGACTCCCTCTCCTGCAGAGACTCTTGGCCAGGGTTTCCAGGGAAAGACAACTCAGTTGCTGCAGCAGCCACATCAATATATTTCAACACCTGGTCTCCCAACATCAGCAGCAAGTGGCTGAAAAGCTGGAGCAGCAGTTCAGTCAGGAGCTGACCATTTTCAGGAATTGACCACACAATACAAAGAACAGCAACACCAACAAATGGTGGTGCTCCTGTAACCCTTAGGAGCCACTGCTATTCAGGAACAAGGTTCTCTGGGAGGGCCCCAAGGCCAGGGAGTCTAGTAAAGTTGACAAAGATGGGCCCAGAGGATGATTCCAAAGCCTTTATGTAAGTCTACTGTGGCAGCATGGCTTTTGTTCACTCTATCTTGATTGAGTCAACCTAGGAAAACTATAGGGTACTAGATTCAATGGATACCCAAGACTACCATAAAATCAAGATGGGTATTTTAGATTCTTTCAACCCTCCCTTCCATCTTTGCCCCACCCTTTCACCCAAGCCCCCATTCCCACTCCACCTCTTCCTGCCCCCGTTCCACTCCCTCCCCACCTCACTCCATCCCTTCCCTCATGTCCCCACGCTAACTCCACCTACTTCAGCTCCCTCCTTCAAGTGCACCTTGTCCCCTCATCTCCACCTCCCTCCCAGAGCCTCCTGAAACAGCTGTTTGGAGTGGGGCAGAAGGTGCTGGAAGGGAGGGGGAGAGGAACTGATCAGCAGGGCCACCGGTGGGCAAGAGGTATTGAGGGGTAGATGGGAGAAGGGGAAGCTCTACTGCCAAATAAGTA